CAGCCGTGTTAGCCTCAAACAACACACATTGGCTACCTTGGTTAGCATTACAGTGATACCACACAAACAACTGCACTATGATAAAAATGACAGTATTTGACGAGTAGCTAAAGTCTCTGTCAACATTTGTTTATTCACAAATGTCAGTTAAACTGCCCGGGGTTCTAGAAACAGAATGTTCAATAACAAACCCAAGACAGAGGAAGAACAGTCAGACTTGGAAGAAAAAGCTTTTCACACGACAGTACGCAGTGTTTCGTCCACACAGGTGCTTTCACTTGAGCTCATTAGACCAGAGGCCTGTACGACGAAGCCGGTTCAACCTAACCTGGATATGTTTGAGTTAGCCGGTTGGCCTAATCCAAAACCTACGCGCTCTTGCTCAGATATCCAGGTTAGGTTGAACCGGCTTCGTCGTACAGGCCTCTGGTCTAATNTTTAAGCTTGTAGATGTGTTCTTTTCTTACCAGAAGGTGATGAAGTGTGGAATATCCATGTGACATATCTGACCCAGCTTGGTAACAGTCGTTAAGAACACAAAACTATTTCCTCAAATCACAGAATAATGGCCCAGTGTGAATGTAATCACACCCTGGATAGTTACTGTCAGCCAGGAACGAGACATGGGCATTTTCTGTGTCCTGCTCCATTGTTTTGGCTGGCAGTGATTAGTTTGTGCTGAGCCAGCAGAAAAGAAACTGCTGTTACAACAATAATGTAACAATGCTGTATTTGTGAATGACTCTAATTTGTGTGACTTTGAGTGAAAACAATCTGGTTACAATGGTTCAGTTTTACCGGAAAACTCCTCCTCCATGATAATAAAAATTGCTTTTTTTTTTAAATACTGGGAGGTGTTTGATTTTCTAGTCTGGATCTTTAAAAACATGACAAAATAATACAGATTATTGAATAAACAGCTACTTAACCTACTCCCACTCCATCTCTGAGTCTTTGATCCGATCTAAGTGATGTGCAGCCTTTTATCTGCTTTACTCTGCTTGTGAAAGCAATAATGAGTGACAGGGCTTGGGTTAAAATGGTCATTACCAGTCAGAAGTACTGGTTTTGCTTCTAAAATCAAAATGTTGAAATTATAACTACTAACTAATTGAACTACAACAAATATGTATTAGTACATTTATACCTGACTTTATGGTGGACATCCGAAATCTTTGGAGTGCCTTAATGTAAATTAAAATCCTGTTATAGTGGCAAAACTCTACAGTAGCAGAATTGGCGTTGGGAAAACAGTTTTTAGAGGTGGCTGTTGTCTTTTGTTTTCCTGTTAAATGAAGCCGAAAGCCAGCAAACTTTTCCCGTCTAGATTAAATTAAATCTACATAAATGTACATCACAGATTGTTGTTCTCCCTAAACTTTTCAGGATGGGCTTCTCTTTATGCACTGCATGATATTATTGATGAGTATTAATCTATTAATCTGCTTCTGTCTGCAGAGTAGAGGTAAAGACGGCTGACTAAATGGCTGTAACACTCGGGAGACGGAAATATCTATTTTCTTTTTTATGATGACATTCTCTCCTAACTCTTAATTAGGTAAATGACTTAAAGTGTTGTCAGAGTTCAAAATGGTCTTTTTTTAAACAACTGACCTCACTTTTAGTAGGGCATAACAACCAAACAGAGCCATACATAATCAAGTTGTCAGATGTAGTCAGAAGACACTCGATGTGTCCCATTCAATGTGAATTATTTACAGTTCCTAAATGGAAATACAATTCCTCCCATTAAATGTCATTACATGTGAGAAATGGGAGTAAAATAATTTCCTTCTGGTGGCATGGTACATTTGCAAATTCTGTGAGCTTTCTTCTCAAATATTTACGATGGTCACTAGCTCATAGCGTCACCATGCAGAGACCTAAGTCAGGTTATGGGGAAAGAGTTTTTCAGAAGAGCTTGAGAATCTTGATTGTTGACACTATAGGAAGCACTACTCTGACCAAATGTTTATATTTTACAGAAAACTATGATATAATAGACAAACCTTAAAACAAAGATACAGTACAGCTTTGAACACTGATGACAAACTTGCTATTGCTCAGAGGAAAGAAGAACATTTGTCCTTTTCAGTTTCTTTGTTATAACAGTCCTTCCTTTGTTGAGTCTAATTCTGAATCAACATGTTGCAGTTACTTTTATCCATGTTTTAGTATGTGTTTTTGGTCAACAATATCACTGGAATAGTAGAGAGAAGCACTGGCTTGAGGCAGACTTGAAGGAAGGCAATTACAGGCGCTGCACACTCACACAGATGTTTCACTTGTTCTGATTAGACCTGTGTTCAGGCTGGAGTTTGCTGGACCTATGCTAGGAATCCTGACTACAGAGGCCTGTACGGCGAAGCCGGATTTTCACTTAGCGGGCTAACTTCAGGGAAAACTCGGGGTTTGCGGTCCTACGGTGCTGGTTCTCTTTTTAGTGGGCTAGATCTCAATGGTAACTTGTGCTGAGCGGCTAACCAGGGGCCTGTACTACGAATCAGGATTTTCGTTTAGCAAGCTAACTTCAGGGATTTCCGGTCCTTCGAAGCCGGTTCACTTTTTTAGCGGGCTTGGTAATTTATGCTGAGCGGCTAGCCTGTTTTGTTTTGGATTAGGTCAACCGGATAACTCAAAACATATCCAGGATATGTTGAACTAGATTCGTAGTATAGGCCCCAGGCTAGCTGTTCAGCATAAGTTACCATGGAGATCTAGCCCGCTAACAAGAGAACCAGCTTCGTAGGACCGGAAACCCAGAGTTTTCCCTGAAGCTAGCCGCTAAGAGAACATCCGGCTTCGTAGTACAGGCCTCTGGCCTCAGGGTTTGATGCTGTAATGGTTTTGGTTTTTAGATCACATTACATGACATGTCGCACACACACACACACACCCACACACACACACACACCCAGCGACTTGCATGCAGTCAATACTGTGGACAGTCCCCAAACACACTTTATTACCTGTAGGATCTGAAGGTNGTTCTTAACGACTGTTACCAAGCTGGGTCAGATATGTCACATGGATATTCCACACTTCATCACCTTCTGGTAAGAAAAGAACACATCTACAAGCTTAAACCAAAGTTGTGTTATTTAATAAAGAGTTAAAGCATTTAACAGAATCAATCTTATTTCCAGCTGGAAGAGTCCTGCACTAGCAAATAATACCAAGATCTGAACAAGTTATACAGAAAAGCAATGACTTTATACAGGGTAGAGACACAGGAAGAGGAAGGTCTCAGCCAATCAACATACATAGTGATTACATTACAGAGTATTGAAGATTGGTGGCTAGACGAGGTTAAGCCTTGACATGTTAAGTATAACCATATGATAATGTACCTGACAATGGTCCGAACAGAAGGTTGCCAGTATTTTGTATTAAAGGTGTGATAAAAGCCTGGGAGAGAGTGGCAGCCGTAGTTTACATATAACTGAAACATTTAAACTGTGAGAAAATCAACGGAAGGCAGAAAGTTACAGTGACATAATTAAATGAGACTTGTGATACATTTGTACAAACCATACTCTGATTTTACATTTTCCAAAAAAATTGAAAATCAATTAACGGGTGAATAGATTTGATTTGAATGTAATTCTGCTGTAACTCTCATTCAATGAAACAGTTATCATTTAAAAAAGAATGTAGAATGTGTAGTATTTCTAACCTAAACATTTTTCAACTGAGAAACATTTTTTACATGGTGGCATAAAGCTTGAAGAGCAAACTTCATGACTGTAGATTCACAGATATGACTGATAGGATATACATATCATGTGAATGTCAGGTATAAATAGTCAGTGAAATACAACTATTTGGTCTCAAAGGCAATTCCTTTTTACTCGTTCAGGAGGCTTTCTGGGCTCCGCTGAAATCTGATATGGTATATTTCAATTCATTAGTACATGGCATCTTGGATAAAGGCTGAGACAATAGCACAGCTTTGTCTTGGCACTTCTAGAGAGAGAAATGTCTTGCGCCTGTATGTCAAGCACACTTTATAATATTGGTCGTTAACACAATCCTTCATTTAATTCCCGCTGACATCTTCGGTGCTCATGAGTCATTGCTCCTAAAAATATTTTAGTTTAGCTTTGTTGTGTTACTTTCATTGTTGATACACTGAGGCAATCATGTCTCCAGCTAACTATCTGGGAAGTTTAAATTGCATCAATTTCAGAGACTTCCCAAACAGCAGGTGTTCAGAATAGCAAATGTTATTGCTTTCATGAACCGTGTATCATTATTGTGCGGGATTATTGAAAACAAGAGTATCAAGAGACATTTGTTCGTATTCAAAATCAGGTTAACATAAGACAGCGCTATTTGAGAGAGACACATAAAGAACAAATAGATCCTTAACTCAGCAGTAATGAGGTAAAATCTTGGAGGATGAAAACCTTCTAGAAAGGGAGAACCGCATTTTCAATGTTGCAAAAAAAGAAAAAACAACCAATGATTTAAAGAATCTCAGCGTCAGAGAAGTATATATATATCCAATATTTGTATTTGATGCTGGTTTTCATTTATTTATTTATCTCATTGTCAGCTTCTCTCATTTCCATTTCCAATTAGGGTTTTAGCAGATTGAACAAAGTGACAGACAGTCTGAGTTTTAAGTCTTAGTTTTAAAGATTTTTGGTGCAGTCAGTAAAAGTAAAAAAAAAAATCCCTTCATTTCGTCAAGAATTTATTTGGTTTTTCAAGATATAAAGAAAAAGCACAACGAGTAACTAAGAAACCTTCCGACGAACTCAAAGGCAAAATGTGGAATATGAGTATTCAGACTTGTATATACAGCAGTGGTTTGAATTATGTTGACTATTACTCTTCCTATATTTTCACACATACACTGTATGGCTCTGACATCTGAAATTTCAAGCAAGGTTTATCATCCTCGTAGAAAAAGTGCTTTTTAAAAATGAACACCAAGTTCAGAATGTTACTGGAACAATCGTATTTTCATCAACACATACATTCTGCATGTTTTCTTTTTAATAACGCTTTTTTACAATATGGCAAACAACATTGTTATAAGCACACAAATGACCATTTACATTTATAAATATTTACACTCAGAATGACAGCAGATAAGAACTTACTGTAAGAAAATCATAAAATGTTTCTTGACTTCACATCTGATGGGTCCACCAGTAGCTCCGGGCTGAATGTCTGATAAAGCTCTGAGCTGTTGGTGAATGGTCCCGCTCTGTCCTGACAGCTCAGTGTGATGCTGGGGGTCCTGCTAAATAAAATACTCCTTTTGGTTTTCAGTGGGAGCGCTCTGAGAGTCCACCTGGCTGCTGAAGGGCAGCTCCTGGCCCTCTTCCGGCTGCGCTGCTTTCACTTCTTGGTTTCTATACGTCTCCTTCCTGCTGCAGATAATTCTGGCTATTATCGCCAATGCGACCACGCAGACGAAAATCATCATGCCGATCACCCCTAAAAAAATCAAAAATACTTTTAATTCAAAATCCAACTTACCAGGTTGCTTTTAATATTTTAGCAAAACCAATTTCTTCAAGAAATTGTAAATTTTGGATAACCTGCTTATTTTCTTCCACAGATATATATGACAAGATTTATAACATTCTCATATCTTTTTCAAAAAATTTTCCCTTGTTTATTGTCTCAGGCAAAAGCACAAGGGTGACGTGATACACAGTCACTCGTTTGACACAATTCAAGTTGAATTATCCATTTAACATTATATGGGCAAGAAATCCAATTAGTCAAGATTCAAATGTGCTTGATGTTATTGTTAGCACAATACAAAAACATCTACTTTTAAACTCACAAGGTAACCTAAATCGTTGCTTGTTAAAACATTTGACAGATCAGACCCTGTGTATCTCAGACCATTCCCATCCTTTATTATGTGTTAAAGGTCCCATGTCATGCTTTTCCGGTTATTACCCGTCCCCTTGTGTGTTATGAAGGTTTTTATGCATGTAAACGGTCTGCAGAGTCACAAACCCTCAAAGTACACCCTGTAGCGAGTAAAACTCTAACACAGAAAATACCTCCCCAAAACGCCTCGTTGGAGATACGTCACTGTCCATTGATTCTTCCGGGTAACTCATGATGTCATGCGATAGCCGGAACCAAAGGGACCAAGCCGTTACGTTAAGCCCCTGCTGATTGGTCCAAATTGACCAATCCACGGACTTCCTCACACACACACTCAGTGCAGGCAGCTCTGCTGATCTCTTCTCCCTGGCTGCAGGCTGATAACAGACAGTTGGGATCGTGGCAAAATTCTCTCTGCAGACTCATTCTCACAGCGTTTATCAACCTTTTTCTTACTCAATATCAAGCCACACTTATTGTTTTTACTTCGGCTGTGACTTTGTGTGTGGTCAGGGTGAGTTTGGCTGTGTTTGGCTGTGTATCGCTAAACAAGGAAACCACACCTCCACGGAGCTCAGCGCGATTCACAACATTCCGACCAATCAGAGCACACTGTGCTCACAGGGAGGGTGGGGGCTGGAGCTATTGGAGCTACAACGAGCCGTTAAAGAGCGTCTTGCAGGTTTTTATTTATTCTACATTTATGCTTAAACTTGCTTGAAAATTACAATTAAAAAAGTGAATGATTGCACAATATAAATCTATTCTAGTAGACCTCAACAATGGAATTATGATCAGTGGAAATGGCCATGACATGGGACCTTTAAAAGACCGCCTCATGTCTGGCTGTGGTGCTGAATGTAGATTTTTTTAGATGCTCATTTAGGGATCTTTCTCCATCCCTGTTACTGGTATGGTTTCAACCAACCATTCTTTTCATGATCAAATAATCAGTTGTTTATATTGTCTTTAATGCCGGCTACAGCCTAGCCATAAGACCTTATGTGTCCAAGTTGTTCAAATTTGGGTTAAAATGAGGTGGTCAACGATTAAGGTCATGGTGATCACACAAAACACATCTTTGGCCTTATTTAAAAACATCATATGATAATAATAACAAATTCACCTACATGTCATATAGGATATCATAATTAAGTGAAGCAGTCGGACAGTCATGGAAGTAGATCACAACTTCACAGGTTATCAGAGGCATACAACGGCAAGGTGGCCATTTTGGTTTTCTAGATTAAATGATCGGTCTAAAAATGGAAAGTAAAACAAATGTCAGACCCAGTATCTGAAAGTCTCACTGGCCTTATTATGGTAGACAAAAGTGAACTTTACAGCCTAGAAGGTTAGGAGCAGGTTGGACCTTTGGATTGTAAGTTGTGTTAAAGTCAAAGCGATGCTCCTAACCCACCTTTGGGACGTTCCCCTCTCTCTCTCTCTGTGTCCAGGTGAAGCTGTGGAGTCTGGTTGACCCTGAGCTGCAGCAGCCCAGCAGCCCGGAGCTCACCCTGCGTCCCGGGCAGGGCAGGATCGAGCTGGTGCTCTTCCACCCCACCTCCTCCGGCCTGTTGGCTGTGGGGGCCACCAAGTCCCCCCTGATTTGGGACACCAGCCGCCCGGACACACCCCTAGCAGGTAGCTACAGCTGGAGAACATGAGCACTGCATGTACACACGTTTGTTTGTACGCACAGTTTTTATCAACGGTCTTTGTCGTACATTATGCACTGTCTGCGTTTAACATTTCAGTCTTTGTCAGTTAGTCTTCAAGTTTTGTTGTGGCCTGTTTTGTTTCTATGTGCAACATGATTGTATACATTCAGAGTGCGGTGGTTTTCCTTTTCTTCGTTGGGGACTGTCTGACTGACACTGCCTACGTTTTACAGCCCTGCGGCTCTGTCTAAGTGCCGGAGCAGCAGAGGTAATGTTTTGGTTTGCTGTCCTGGTCCCAGTCTCCCCAGACTGGCCTCAGGATGCAGTCGCTATCCTATGGCCCCCCAACAAACACGATCCCCCCCCCCCCCTCACACATGCCATGAAAGCTGGCCTGGCTGCTGCTGCTCACTGCTGATCCAACTTTTCCACGAGCTGTACCCCCACACGCTTGTCTTCATCACCCCACGTACTCCATTCATGCGTTGAGGAACAAGGTCTGAATGATGAACATGTATTCTAAATGTGTGTGTGTTTTTTGAATCCCCTTTGTGTGTAACTTTCTTAACAAGCTGCACCTCTTATCTCTTTTTCCATCGTGTGTGTCGTATTGAAAATGTCACACAGCTGCGCTGTGCGTGGCACTGCATCTTAATATCTGTCTTCCCATGCTCATCTCTCATGGGGCGTAAACCATTAGCACACAAAGAACAAATGATAAGTTCCTTAAATGATCTATGCTTTTCTATCATTTTGTAGTTTATTGAATTGGTGTGTTCTTTATTTTATGGCTCATTTCACCCTGCAGTGATACATCTAACTCTATCGTGTTCATTGTCTTGTGTGTTTATGTGCCGTCATTCTGTGACCATAGTGTGTGTCGCATTATGTTGTCTTTTTGTAAATCTTTTTATAATCCCCTGTCCAACATGATTGTTGTGGTTTTTTTAGACCTTCTCTTCCTTTTCTAAATGTGGTAGTGTGTGTTGTGTGTGTGTGTGTGTGTGTGTGTGTGTGTGTGTGTGTGTTGTGTTGTGTGTGTGTGTGTGTGTGTGTGTGTGTGTGTGGGTGTGTGTGGGTGTGGTGTGTGTGTGGTGGTGTGTGGTGTGTGTGGTGTGTGTGTGTGTGTGTGTGTGTTGTGTGTGTGTGTGTGTGTGTGTGTGTGTGTGTGTGTGTGTGTGTGTGTGTTTTGTGTAGGTTCCTGGAGACCAGCCACGGGGCCAGCCTGCAGAGTCTGACTGGAAGCGAGACGGCTAAACCTGGCTGGCTACCTCCTGCAAGGTAACAACCAACATTGGACGTATGAGTTTGTATTGTTGTAGTTATCAGTGTGTGACCACTAAGATGCAGCCAGTGGCTCACGTTCAGTGCAAGTTACTCCACATCGGACTCTGCTGGTTATTCTGGGGTTTATTTAGTCAAAATGTCAACAGGGGGTAATGCCTATGGGTAATGTCCATCTGAAAAGGGGTGGGAGCCCCATCACACATTTCATTAGAAATCAACAGTTCTCAAGAGGGAAAAGGAATAACTTTGTAAAGCCCCTTTGACGGCAAGAAGAATAATAGCCAGTTTTGTTTGAATGTGTTTATAATGATGACAAAGAAGAAATCTTGGCAGGGTTGTAAGAAGCCTGTTGAGATGTTCCCTGGTTAGAGCTGGAAACTGTATTAAACTTGTTAATAAATAAGGGTACGCAATGGGGCCCACAAGTCTGTGTGTGAAGACTACATATGTTGGGGATTTTGTTTTTGCTGACCCCCAGAGTCCCACCCCACCCCTTTCCCCCCCCTGTGAACCCTCCTGTCTTCTGGTGCGAGTTTAAGTCCAACCAGGAGTTGACCGACCATCAGTTTTTTGGCATGTTACAGTAGTTTCGCTAAGAGAAAAGTCCCCAGGGGTTTGAATGCATCCAAAAGGCCAACTCTCCTAC